TTGATCCATTTAGGTGGGCATGGTGGCTCACACCATTAATACCAGTGCTTTGGAAGGCCAAGGCAGGAGGATCATTTGAGTCCTGGAGTTCGAGACCAGCCTGGGCAACATAAGAAAATTCCACCTCTACAATTATTGTGGCACATACCTGTAGTTCTAGCTACTCAGGAGGCTGAGGTGCAAGGATTGCTTGATCTCAGAAGTTCAGTGTTGCTGATCCTGAAAGACTAGCTTGAAAAAAAAAAAGTTCAAGGTTGTAGTGAGAAGTGATCATGTAAGTGCACTCCAGACTGCAATACAAAGCAAGACCCTGTCTCAAAGAAAATCAATTGCTCCATTTGTCTGAATCAACTTATTTATGGTATTTTTTTTAAACATTTTGTCATCTGTGGGGTGTTATCTCTTCTTTCTTTCCTGATATTGGTAATTTGTGTCTTCTTTCTGTTTTCCTGGTCTGTCTGGCCACTATCAGAATTAGGCCATAACCAGCTGGGCGTGGTGGCTCACATCTGTAATCCCACCACTTTGGAAGGCCGAGACATGTGGATCACTTGAGGTCAGGAGTTTGAGACCAGCCTGGCCAACATGGTGAAACCCCATCTCTACTAAAAACACAAAAATTACCCAGGTATGGTGGCAGGCACCTGGACTCTCAGCCACCTGGGAGGCTGAGGCAGGAGAACTAATTGCTTGAAATAGGGAAGTAGAGGTTGCAGTGAGTTGAGATCATACCACTGCACTCCAGCCTGGGCAATAGAACAAGACTCCATCTCAAAAAAAAAAAAAAAGAATTGGGCCATAACCTTCCATTCTCTCCTCCTCTCCTGGATTTCCCCACACTGTCCAACTACAGGGGCCTCTTTTCTCCATTCTCTGATTACAAAGTTATAATATCTCTTGGAGATTTAGCTGCCAAGCTGCCACATAGTTCTGCATCATTGGGACCAACTTTTGGATAAAACAATGAAAGAAAAGAGAGAGAAAAAAACAGGGATGTCCCTCATACTCTTCAGATCACATGGTCCCTTTATCTCAGTTTCTTTGGCCTAAAAGACAGGTTTCCTGTTGGGATTTGATATGTTCATGCCCCTGTCATCACAGTGCAGCCCTGTGACTGGGACTGCAGGTGGAGAAGGGGTAGAGAAGAAAAAGGTCAGAAAAAAAAAAAATGGGGAAAAAAAAGGAGGATTCTCCTTTTCCTGGTCCACAGAAGCACAAGGTTTCTCAAGTTTTTGATGCCTGAGCCAACTGTGCAGTTATGTGATATGATTGTCTTGTCTTTGGGTCAAAACCAGGAGATAAAAGAGAGAAGCAAATGGGAAACTTAACCTTGTATGTATCCTTCTTAGCTTTTGCTCCTCCTCTGCAGTCTGCTAAAACTATTTTTTTTTTTTTTGAGATGGAGTCTTGCTCTGTTGCCCAGGCTGCAAAGCAGTGGCATGATCTCTGCTCACTGCAACCTCCACCTCCCGGGTTTAAGCGATTCTCCTGCCTCAACCTCCCGTGTAGCTGGGATTACAGGTGCATGCCACCACACCTGGCTATTTTTTATATTTTTAGTAGAGATGGAGTTTTACCTTGTTAGTCAGGATGGTCTCGATCTCCTGACCTCAGGATCTACCCACCTAGGCCTCCAAAATTGCTGGGATTACAGGTGTGAGCCACCGCGCCCGGCTGAATACTAATTTTCTAGAGTCCTCAAGTATTTGCTTCCTATATTGTTCAGAATTTTTAGTTGTAATTATTGGGAAAGATAGGCTACAGAGTGGTCTTATTTTGTCTTGGCCAGTAATAGAAATCTTGAAAAGTCTTTTTCTGATCACATATCATACTTCTTTACTATCAAGATATATCTTTTTTTTTTTTTTGAGACCGAGTTTCACTGTTGTTACCCAGACTGAAGTGCAATGGCACGATCTCAGCTCACTGCAACCTCCGCCTTCTGGGTTCAAGCAATTCTCCTGCCTCAGCCTCCCGAGTAGCTGGGACTACAGGCGCGCACCACCATACCAGCTAATTTTTGTATTTTTAGTAGAGACGGGGTTTTACCTTGTTGACCAGGATGGTCTCGATCTCTTGACCTCGTTGATCCACCCGCCTCGGCCTCCCAAAGTGCTGGGATTATAGGTGTGAGCCATCGCGCCCGGCCCAAGATATATCTTTAAATGAAAATTTAATTTAAAAATATTTTTCCTGAGTGTTAAAAACCTTTCTTCCCGATTTAGCTATTACCATTGTTATTATTATACTATTTGCCGTAATAACATTAATATAATTCTCATAGTAACTAAGAAAAAGGCCAGGTTCGGTGGCTCATGCCTATTGTCCCAGCATTTTGGGAGGCCGAGGCGGGTGGATCACAAGGTCAAGAGATCGAGACCATCCTGGCCAACATGGTGAAACCCTGTTTCTACTGAAAATACAAAAATTAGCTGGGCATGGTGGTGTGAGCCTGTAGTCCTAGCTATTCAGATTCAGGAGGCTGAAGCAAAAGAATTGCTTGAATTCAAGAGGTGGAGGTGCAGTAAGCCAAGATCATGCCACTGCACTCCAACCTGATGATAGAATGAGACTCTGTCTAAAAAAAAAAGAAAAAAATTTCTCACTCAGCACAGGGACCAAAAAAATACATATATATATTGGAAGTGCATTTCTTTATGAGATAATAGCACTTTAAGTTATTTTTTCAAGGCCGAGCGTGGTGACTCACGCCTGTAATCCCAGTGCTTTGGGAGGCTAAGGAGGGTAGTTCAAGACTAACCTGGACAACATGGTGAAACCCTGTCTCTACTAAAAGCACGAGAATTAGCTAGACGTGGTGGTGGGCACCCATAATCCTAGCTACCAAGGAGGTTGAAACAGGAGAATTGCTTGAACCTAGGAGAAGGAGGTTGCAATGAGCCAAGATCATGCCATTGCACTCTAGTCTGGGCAACAAGAGCAAAACTCTTGTCTCAAAAATAAATAAATAAATAAATATTATTTTTTTCATTTAGTTTAAATATCTGTAAATGAATATTAGTCATTACTAGAATGCGACAGGCTCAGCATTAAGCTGTGAAAAACCTTGTTTTACATATGTGAAGTGGAGGCAATTTTGTTATAGCTATGTCACTCAATTCTTTGAACTTTCCAGTTATATGCCAAGAATCACATAATTTTCTATCTTCAAAAATTGTTTTTAATGACCTATTATCTAATGGTTAGTTTCTTCTTTGGTTTTTGGAAAGCAAATAACTGGAAACTACCTGACTTTCAGAAGGATTTATTACTCAATCATTAGAGTCATTTATTTCTCAGTTCATGAGAAGTTTGGCAAGACTTTCCAACCATTAATGGTGTCTAATTTCTTCTATTAGAGGCACCCTGTTTAAGAAAGTTTGGGGAATATTAAATATTGTTAATTTTTTTTTCTTGAGGCAGAGTTTCACTCTTGTTGCCCGGGCTGGAGTGCAATGGTGCGATCTTGGCTCACTGCAACCTCCACCTCCTGGATTCAAGCGATTCTCCTGCCTCAGACTCCCAAGGAGCTGGGATTACAGGCATTTGCCACCTCACCCAGCTAATTTTGTATTTTTTGTAGAGATGGGGGTTTCGCGATGTCGGCTAGGCTGGTCTTGAACTCCTGACCTCAGATGATCCACCCGACTTGGCCTCCCAAAGTGCTGAGATTACAGGCATGAGCCACCATGCCTGGCCAGTATTGTTAAATTCTATACAACACAAAGTTTTCAATAAAATTATTTTATCAATTACCTTGAATATATTTTTCTCAAAACCTTGACGTTCCAGATGTACCTCCATGTGTACAACAATAATGTCCAATAGAAATGTAATGAGTCATGTATGTTATTTTAATTCTTTTTTTGAGATGGAGTCTCTTGTCACCCAGGCTGGAGTACAGTGGTACAATCTCAGCTCACTGCAACCTCTGCCTCCTGGATTCAAACAATTCTCCTGCCTCAGCCTCCCAAGTACCTGGGACTATAGGAGCATGCTACCACACCTGGCTAATTTTTGTATTTTTAGTAGAAACGGGGTTTCACCATGTTGGCCAGGCTGGTCTTGAACTCCTAACTTTAGGTGATCCACCCCGCTCGGCCTCACAAAGTGCTGAGATTACAGGCATGAGCCACCGCATCCAGGCAGATTAAATAGACTTTGGTGTAACATAAATTAATCTGTTTTTTACTGTTAAGTGATAAAACATCTTAAATGTAAGGCTCTTATTACGCTGAGGCAGGCATACTGCTTGAGGCCAGGAGCTTGAGACCAGTCTGGGCAACAAGGCGAAACCCTGTCTGTATTAAAAATATAAAAATTAGCTGGGCATGGTGGTGCACAACTGTAGTCCCAGCTACTCCAGAGGCTGAGGCATGAGAATCACTTGAATCCAGGAGGCAGAGGTTGCAGTGAGCCATGATTGAACTATTGCACTCCATTCTGGACAACAGAGCAAGACTGTCTAAAAAAGAAAGATGTGGCATATATATAAGCAAATGTGCATATGCACATATTGGTCTCTGGTGTTTGATTTTTAGGAACAGTTAAACAAGAACCAAAAAATAATTCCCTTTTATTTTTTTTGGAGATGGAGTCTCACTCTGTCACCAGGTTGGAGTGCAGTGGTGCAATCTTCGCTCCCTCCAACCCGTCTCCCAGGTTTAAGAGATTCTCCTGCCTCAGCCTCCCAAGTAGCTAGGATTACAAGTGTGCATGACCATGCCCAACTAATTTTTTGTATATTTAGTAGAGACAGAGTTTCATGATCTTGATCTCTTGACCTCATGATCCACCCACCTTGGCCTCACAAAGTGCTTGGATTATAGGCGTGAGCCACCATGCCCAGCCGAAATAATTCTATTCATTTAAAATGAATCCTAATATTATGCCATTAATTTTTTAGATAATACCACACATTTCTCCCATGTATTTAGCAAAAAAGAGAAAATAATGTATGCTAAAAAATATATATGTATATTTTTTTAGACAGAGTCTTGCTCTGGCACCTAAGCTAGAGTGCAGTGATGGTGATCTGGGCTCACTGCAACCTTTGCCTCCCAGGTTTAACTGATTTTCTTGCCTCAGCCTCTTGAGTAGCTGGGATTACAGGCACATGCTACCACACCTGGCTAATTTTTGTATTTTTAGTTGAGATGGGGTTTCACCATGTTGGCCAGGCTGGTCTCAAACTCCTGACCTCAGGGGATCCACCCACCTTGGCCTCCCAAAGTGCTGGGATTTCAGGCGTGAACCACCACACTGGCCTGAAAATTAATCAGTTACTCCAGCTGTTAGAATATGATTTTGTTTTTTGGCCGTAAAAATAATAAAATATCAAACATTTCAAAAATAGAGACAAGATGGGGTGGTAGGCAGAATTCTAAATGGCACCCACCCCAAGATTCTTGCCCCTTTGGTATGTATGCCCTGTGTGATCCCCTGTCCTTGAACATGGGCAGGGCCTGTGAATATGATGGCATATCCTATCCTTTGAACAGGCTATATTATAGAGGACTGTTTCAACAGACGAGAGAATCTCCAGCTGGTTATAAAGTAAACTGCTATGTTGTGAGGATGGCTGTGAGAGGGCCTTGAGACAAAGAGCTGCAGGGGCTTCTGGAGCTGAGAGCAGATTGCTGACAGCAGATTGCTGACAGCCAGTAAGAAAGCTGGGACCTCAGACATACAACTGGGAGAACTGAATTCTGCCCACAACCTGTAAGTTTGGAAGAGGACCCCATCACCAGCCTCAAATGAAATCAGACCCCATCACTACACCTTGATTGCAACCTGTGAGAACTGAGTAGAGAATTCAGTTAAATCCTGCGGGGACTCCTGGAAACTTAGATAATAAAGGTGTGTTGTTTTGAGCTGCTAAATTTATGGTTCATAGTAATTTTTTAAAAATTATGTATTTATTTATTTATTATTATTTTTTGAGACAGAGTCTCTCTCTGTAGCCCAGGCTGGCAGACTGGAGTGCAGTGGCACGATCTCGGCTCACTGCAGCCTCCGCCTCCAGGGTACAAGTGATTCTCCTGCCTTAGCCTCCCAAGTAGCTGGACTACAGGCACCTGCCACCATGCCCAGCTAATTTTTGTATTTTTAGTAGAGATGGGGTTTCACCATATTGGCCAGGCTGGTCTCAAACTCCTGACCTTATGATCCACTCACCTTGGTCTCCCAAAGTGCTGGGATTACAGGTGTGAGCCACTGCACCCGGTCAGTTCATAGTAATTTTCAACATAATAAAAAAAAAAAAGAATACGGATGGCCTATAGGAAGGAACTGAATATTACTGATATGATTTAATAAAACATGTTCTAGATGGATACAGTGGCTCATACCTGTAATCCTAGCACTTGTGGAGGCTGAGGCAGGAGGACTGCTTGAGGCCAGGGGTTTGAGGCTTCAGAGAGCTATGATAGCTCCAGTGCACTCTGGCCTGGGTGACCCAGCAAGACGCTGTCTCACTAATATAAAATAAATAAGATGAAATAAAATAAAAATTTTCCAACTACTGTATTGAATAATCCACTTGCACTCTAAAAGAAATTATAAAATTATGAGTGGGCAATGGTGTCATGCACCTGTATTCCCAGCCACTCAGGAGGGAGGATTACTTGGGGCCAGGAGTTTGGGGTTGCAATGTATTTTGATTACTCCTGTGAATAGTCACTGCACTCTAGCCTGGGTAATGCAGATGTTATCAAACAGAACTAGAGTTTGCTTACCCTATCTATACAGTTTTGAAAACGGACAAAGGAAAGTGTTTATTTGTGGGGCAGCAAGCAAGGGGGATCAAGTAGCTAACACTTAAGTCCCAACCTCCTGGATGGCTTACAGGTAAATTTTTTTTTTTTTTTTGAGATAGGATCTTGCTCTGTTGCCCAGGCTGGAGTGCAGTGGCACCATCAGGGCTCACTGCAGCCTTATACTCCTGGGCTCAAACAGTCCTCACACTTCAGCTTCCCAAGTAGCTGGGACTACAGGTGCAAGCCACCATGCCCAGATAATTTTTTTTTTGTAGAGATAGGGTCTCACAGTTGCACAGGCTGGTTTCAAACTCCTAAACTCAAACCATCCACCTGCCTGGGCCTCCCACAGTGCTGCATATAGGTGTGAGCCACTGCACCTCACCTGCAGGTACAGATTTTTAAAGGCAGGGGTGAATTTCAGGAAAGCAGAAGTTAAAGGCAAAACTTATAAACCAGTAGATGGAGGTTTGACCTAAAAAGGTAGGATATCTTGAAGTGAGTGAGGAGGGACTTTTTTTTCTATGTAAGCTCTCACTTGTGGGTGTGACTTCTTCTAGTTCCCTCAGGAAGAAATTTAGAACAAATTTGGTCACAGATCAGTCTTCAATTCCCCTTTGTCTGAGGCTTTGTGCCAGAGGATCCATTTGGTGGGGGTCTGGGTTTCTGAAAAACAACTCAGACATATGTTGATGTTTTCTTTGGTTTCTGTAGGGGAACAAAACATCCTGTGATTTTAACATCTTTACTGTAGCTTTAAGCTACCTTCTCTTTTTTTTTTTTTTTTTTTTTTGAGGGTGAGTCTCACTCTGTCACCCAGGCTGGATTGCAGTGGTACGATCTCAGCTCACTGTACCCTCCGCCTCCGGTTCAAGCGATTTTTCTGCCTCAGCCTCCTGAGTAGCTGGGATTACAGGAAGGCACCCCATACCCAGCTAATTTTTTGTATTTTTAGTAGAGGCAGGGTTTCACCATATTGGCCAGGCTGGTCTCGAACTCCTGACCTGGTGATCTACCTTCCTTGGCCTCCCAAAGTGCTGGGATTACAGGTGTGAGCTCACCACACCCGGCAAAGCTACCTTCTTGATTATCAAGTTGCTCCTTTACTTCTCAAGGCTAGCTAGGTGCGTGGAATTTCCCTTGAAGGGGCTCAGGCTTTTCCTTTATTTCCATGCTTTGGGGGCCTGCAGGTTCCCACACCCCTAAGAAGGGTCCCTACTCTTTCTCAGGATCATCACCTGAGATGATGTCCGTAGTTCACATTAATTTCAGAACATCGCAACAAGACCAATATACCTCATTTATAAATCAGTGATTTCCCCCTAAAAAGAAATACCTTTAAGTCTGGGAAAGGCGGGAAACGCTAAAAAAGATTCATGCCATCTTGATTAATATTAAAGGGACTGTTTCCAGTTGTTCATTGGTTTGACATCTTAGAAGTTCTCACACTTGGGACTTTGTCACACTGCAGTCATATTCAGGATGGAGGTTGGGAGTGACTTTTTTTGTAAAGTGGGATGAGTGCTGCTACGACAGGGAAACAGGAAGGATAGCCTGAGATATGCTTTAGGGAGGGTACACATGGAAGTTGAAGGTGTGGAAATAGAATTTCTTTTTCTTTTTCTTTTGAGACAGAGTCTTTCTCTGTCACCAGGTGCCTGGCTGGAGTGCAGTAGCGTGATCTCGGCTCACTGTAACCTCCACCTCCTGGGTTCAAGCAATTCTCCTGCCTCAGCTTCCCAAGTAGCTGGGAGTACAGGCGCTTTCCACCATGCCCAGCTATTTTTGTATTTTTTAGTAGAGACAGGGTTTTCACTACATTGGCCAGGATGGTCTCGATCTCTTGACCTCGTGATCCTCCCGCCTCAGCCTCCCAAAATGCTGGGATTATAGGTGTGAGCCACCAAGCCTGGCCTGCTAGAATTTTTTTTCTTTTTCTTTCTTTTTTTTTTTTTGAAATGGAGTGTCACTCTGTGGCTCAGGCTGGCATGCCTTGGCACAATCTCAGTTCACTGCAATCTTTGCCTCCTGGGTTCAAGCAATTCTCCTGCTTAAGACTTCTGAGTAGCTGGGACTACAGATGTGTGCCACTATGCCTGGCTAATTTTTTACATTTTTAGTAGAGACAGGGTTTCACCGTGTTAGCCAGGATGGTTTCTATCTCCTGACCTCATGATCCGCCCACCTCGGTCTCCCGACGTGTTGCACAAGCCTGAGCCACCACGCCTGGCCTAGAATTTCTTAAAATTCTATAAGTCTCTGTATCCTGTAGAAAGTCTTCCTGTTTTCCAGTTTGAAGACTTTGGCCTTGAAATATGTATTCCGCCCAGTCAACAATTGTATCTTATTATCTTTACTCCCTGCCTGTTCTCCCTTTCCTTAGTACCAGGTGTAGCCCATAATAGATGTTCAGTAGACATTGGCCTCCTGCTTGGGACCTAGGAGACTCGGCTAGAAATAGGGTCCCTTTTCTGGACAGGGCAGGGTAATTGCAGTCAAATTCTTGCTTCCTAATTTCCATTACATTGATTTCCTGTAGGCTTTTAACCACCCCATTACGTCAGAAAGGCAGATTGCCATGTGTGAAATGAACTATTTCCTCTAATTACTCTTTTTCATCCTCCCCCCTTCCCCAAGGAGTCTTACTCTGTTGCCAGGCTGGAGTGCAATGGCTTGATATCGGCTCACTGCAACCTTGGCCTGCTGGGTTCAAGCGATTCTCCTGCCTCAGCCTCCAGAGTAGCTGGGATTACAGTCATGTGCCACCACGCCCGGCTAATTTTGTATTTTTAGTAGAGATGGAGTTTCTCCGTGTTGATCAGGCTGGTCTTGAACTCCTGACCTCAGGTGATCCGCCCACCTCTGCCTCCCAAAGTGCTGAGATTACAGGTGTGAGCCACCATGCCCGGCCCTACTTACTCTTAAATTCAGCATAGATTTGTTGAACCCTCTGCAAATGCACTGTGTTTTTTCAGAGTGTGTATAGTAGGAGATAAGGGAGATAGTCCCACTAGGGAAATAGATTTATGTACAGAAAACTCAGATATATAACTATTTCATTTAGGCAACACCTTTGCTCCTGAAGATCTCACAGCAATTCAAACCACATTTTTCAAGATGAATTTGGACAAAGAACTGCAGTAAAACTATTTCTGTTTTGCAGCTAAAGCAGCAACAATATTTGCAATGAAATCAGAACATCTCAGCTTTGAAATCATGTAATTTTGATAATGTTTCTTTTACTTTGGGAAATTTGCATTATTTCCAAATTTACACATTTAAAGAATATTTATTAATACTCTTTTGTTTTTTTTGAGGCAGGGTTTCGCTCTTGCTACCCAGGCTGGAGTGCAATGGCGCGATCTCGGCTCACAGCAACCTCTGCCTCCTGAGTTCAAGAAATACTCCTACCTCAGCCTCCCAAGTTGCTGGGACTACAGGCGCATGCCACCATGCCCAGCTAATTTTCTAATTTTTAGTAGAGATGGGGTTTCACCTTGTTGACTAGGATGGTCTCGATCTCTTGACCTCATGATCTACCCGCCTCGGCCTCCCAAAGTGCTGGGATTATAGGCCTGAGCCACCGCGCCCGGCCTCTTAATACTCTTATTATCACAGGATTTCACCATCTTGTAATTCAAATTCTCAGTGTGTCTGCACTGTCCAAGAAAGAAAAGTACTGTAACGGAATTAAATGTTTTCAGGAGGCCTCCTTATTCTGTAAATTAAACATCTGGGGTCGCCAATGCTTGGCAGAGTGTAGGGCACTTGGTGGGTGGGCAGCATGAGACTACTGCGTTGAACTCTCTCTCCGGGTACACAGTACGTGCGGTGGAAATCATCTGGTTTCAGAAAATCGTGAATAAGTCAAAGGAGACTTTTTTTTGGGGGAAGTGTTGTATGTGTCAAACATTAATATATGTTTAAAATTAAACAAAACAAAACAGGATGGTAGGAGGCAGCTTTGTTCTCCCTGAGGCTAGAATGCAGTGGCTCAGTACCACCTCCCATCAAATTGGGATTTTCACTTCCCCTACTCTCCAGTCAAGCTTTTAGTGCAAATGGAGGGGATGGGGGTTGGGGGTGGGGAGAATGGGAGGTGGTTGTTCTTCCTGCAATCGTTCTTTTCCTCTCAGACCAAAAGGATATTGAACCTTAACTAAGCGAGCTGGAAGGGGGTCCATCTGAGAACACACTCGAAAGCAAACCCAGGGCACTACCAAGGGAAAGGGAAGAGGTAAGGAGTACTGAGCCGCAGGAGGACTGTATCCAGAGTGGCCAATCGCCTCTAGACCACAGAGCCCAAAGGTGGGGGTTGGGGGGGAAGGGAGGGCAGTTTGCTTCTAGGTCAGCCCTCAGGCCCTGGTGTGACCCAGGGATTGGGAAGATACTGAAATCTAAATCTCAATGTAGATCTCAAAGTTTATTTTAAATAATGCAATTGAAGACAATGGCAGCAAAAAGGCTCAGTGAATCTTTGAAGGGGATCAGTGTAAAGACACAAGAATGGAACCCAGGTGGAACTTGGCTGGCAGTGGTTTCCAACCTTGACTTGTTTTTCAGATCCTCTGGGGAGTTCTTAAAATCCCGATGCTAAGGTTGGACTTCAGACGAACTATGACAGAATCTGTAGGGGTGGGACCCAGGTATGAATATTTAAAAAATTGCTCATCTTATTTCCATGTGCAGTGAAGGCTGCTTTTGAAGAGAGCTGAGAGCCCACCTCTTACCTTCCAGGCAAAAAGCTCATTGCATTTTAGTTAGCATATTCTATGTATAAGTCAAGCTGATTTAGTCTGCCATAAATACTCTAGGGTAGACTTGATATTAGGGCATACTTGATATTGGGGGTATTATATTGCACGGGAACTATGAAGTAGGGTCTTGTTTATTTGCTTGTTTTGAGACAGCCTTGCTCTGTCGCCCAGGGTAGAGTGCAGTGGTGCAATCTTGGCTCACTGCAGCCTCCGCCTCCCGGGTTCAAGCGATTCTTGTGCCTCAGCCTCCTGAGTAACTGGGATTACAGGTGCCTGCCACCATGCCCATGCATGGTGAAGAAGGTGTTATATTTTTTATTAGTTGGCTTCTTCCCTTTCCTTTTAAAGTTTATTTTATTTTTTTGAGATGGATTCTTGGTCTGCCTCCCAGGCTAGAGTGCAGTGGCGCAATCTTGGCTCCCTGCAGCCTCTGCCTCTTGGGTTCAAGCGATTCTCCTGCCTCAGCCTCCCGAGTATCTGGGACTACATGTGTGCACAACCACGTCCAGCTAATTTTTATATTTTTAGTAGAGGCTGAATTTCACTATGTAGGTCAAGCTGGTCTAAAACTCCCAACTTCAGGTGATCTGCCCACCTTTGCTTCCCAAAGTGCTGAAATTACAGGCGTGAGTCACCACGCCACAGTAGCTTTAAGTGAACTAAGTGCTACTCTGAGGCCTGAGAGACTCATTTACTCTCTCTAGGCCTCAAGTCTCACTCTGTTGCCCAAACTGGAGTGCAGTGGCATGATCACAGTTCATTGTAGCCTCCACCTTTTTTAAATTGCATTTTAGGTTTTGGTGTACATGTGAAGAAGATGCAAGATTGTTGCATAGGGTACACACATGGCAGTGTGATTTGCTGCCTTCCTCCCCATCACCCATATCTGGCATTTCTCCCCATGCTATCTCTCCCCAACTCCCCACCACCCACTGTCCCTCCCCTGTTTCCCCCAGACAGACCCCAGTGTGTGATGCTCCCCTCCTTATGTCCATGTGTTCTCATTGTTCAACACCCACCTATGAGTGAGAACATGCAGTGTTCGATTTTCTGTTCTTGCAGTTTGCTGAGAATGTTGGTTTCCAGGTTCATCCATGTCCCTACAAAGGACAGGAACTCATCGTTTTTGATGGCTGCATAATATTCCATGGTGTATATGTGTGCCTGGCTAATTTTTAAATATTTTGTAGAGACTGGGTCTCACTGTGTTTTCCAGGCTTATCTTGGAATCCTAGCTGCAAACAATACTCCCACCTTGGCCTCTCAAAGTTTTGGGAATACAGGCCTGAGTCATCACACGAGGACCCATATTTCTTTATTAGTTAACTTCTTCCTCCTACTTTTTTCTTACAGAGCACAGTAGTCTTAAATGAGTTGGTAAGCATTTCTCCAAGCAATTCAAAGAGCTTGACTCAATGTCATTCTTCCATAGTACATGTGTAGGTAGAAATCAGTTTACATTTGGGAAACAAAGCTCAAAACTGAGAAACATAAAGATTACACAGATAACCCTTCTGTGGCAAGGTCAGTATTTTGAGTGTTGTGCTTCCTAGCCTAATGTTTTGCCCACCAGATTTGACTGCTCAGTTACAGCAATAAAGGAAACTACTTCGTGTCATCTCCTCTTTACCATTCTAAAGGTCTTTGCTTGTTTAAAAAAAAATGTGGGCTGGGCACAGTGGCTCATGCCTGTAATCCCAGCACTTTGGGAGGCTGAGGCGGGCAGATCACCAGGTCAGGAGTTCAAGACCAGCCTGACCAACATGGTAAAACCCCGTCTCTACTAAAAATACAAAAACTAGCTGAGCGTGGTGGTGTGCGCATGTAATCCCAGCTACTCAGGAGGCTGAGGCAGGAGACCTCAGCCTTGAACCCGGGAGGCAGAAGTTGCAATGAGCCAAGATCATGCCACTGCACTCCAGCCTGGGAGACAGAGTGAGACTCCATCTCAAAAAAAAAAAAAATGTGGTGGAAAGAACTCAAATGTCCATGAACTGATTTGGATTTTAAAAAGTGGCATAGCCATATAATGGAATATTATTTGGCCATAAAAAAGAATCAAGTGGCCAGGTGTCATGCCTCACACCTGTAATCCCAGCACTTTGGGAGGTTGGAGGAATGCTTGAGCCCAGGAGTTTGAGACCAGCCTGGGCAACATAGGGAGACCCTATCTCTACAAAAATTTTAAAAATTAGCTGGATGGGGTGGTATGCACCTGTGGTCCCAGCTACTTGGGAGGCTGAGGTGAGGGGATCACTTGAGCTCAGGAGGTCAACACTGCACTGAGCCATGATGGTGCCACTGCACTCCAGCTGGGTTGACAGAGCAAGACCCTGTCTCAACAAAGAAACAAAGTACTCATACATACTACAACATGAATGAACCTTTGAAACATTATGCTAACAAACCAGTCACAAAAGATGACGTGGTATATGATTCCATTTATATGCAATGTTCAAAAAGGGCAAATCTATAGACACAAAAAGATTAGTGGTCGCTTAGGGTGGGGATAATAGGGAGATAGAGGAGTGATAGCTAAACTCTATGGGGTTCTTTTTAAAGTAATGCAAATGTTCTAAAATTGATTGTGGTGATAGTTGTGAGTATACAAAAAGCCATTGAATTGTACACTTTAGGTGAATTGTACAGTATGTTAATTACATATCAATAAATCAATTTTTGAAATATCAAAAGATATTCAACTTCATAAGAAGATAAATGAACATCGAAACAACAGTGAGCAGCGTTCGCTTCGGCAGCATGTATACTAAAATTGGAACTACACAGAGGAGATACATGAATTTCTTTTTTCACTCTTGTTGCCTAGGCTGGAGTGCAATGGTGTGATCTTGGCTCACTGCAACCTCCGCCTCTCAGGTTCAAGCAATTCTCCTGCCTCAGCCTCCTGAGTAGCTGGGATTACAGGCGCCCGCCACCATGCCCAGTTGATTTTGTATTTTTAGTAGAGACGGGGTTTCTCCATGTTGGTCAGGTTGGTCTTGAACTCCCAACCTCAGGTGATCCGCCTGCCTTGGTGCTGGGATCCGCCCTCCCAAAGTGCTGGGATTACAGGTGAGCCATAGCACCCAGTGAAGATTAGTGATATTAAACGTTTATGTAAAATAAAACCCAAGAGTGACCAACCATTTTTCACTAATCAGAGTGGCAAACATTTAAAAGTTTGATATATTAATCCTGGACAAGAGTATGGGAAAGTTGGTGCTCTTGTGTACCATTAGTGGGAGTTATAAATTGTGGCACCCCCTTGGAAGGAAGTCTGCTAACATCTTTTATGATTTGATATACATGTACGTTTTGATTTAGCACTCCACTTCTAGGAATTTATTGTACTGTGTATTTATCAAGCATGAAAATGATTACTGCAACATTGTTTGCAATAACAAAAACTGAAACAACCAAAAGTCTATCAACACAAAATTGAGTAAAATAAGTTATAAATCATTTATTAAATTTATAAATACCATGACACTGTTTATTTTATTTTATTTTTAAATAGAGACGGGGTTTCACCATATTGGCCAGGCTGGTCTCGAACTCCTGATCTCGTGATCCACCCGCCTTGGCCTCCCAAAGTGCTGGGATTACAGGTGTGAGCCACCACGCCTGGCCTTCCATGACACTGTTAAAAGAACATAGGGGTCATATTTTAGTAGTGAATAAGGTAGCAAGCACTTAAATGAACAAGGTAATCTCTAACACAATGATGGAGAGTGACTTCGATTGGGTAGTATTTACTTGATGGGTGTCACAACAGGTGTCTGTAAGCGAGTGACATAGGAACTGGCATCTGAGTGAGGAAACCTCACCATAACCTCCACCTTCTGGGTTCAAGAGATTTTCCTGCCTCAGCCTCCTGAGTGAGGAAAAGAAAGTGGTCCAGGGCCCAGTGCAGTGGCTCACATCTGTAATCCCAGCACTTTGGGAGGCCAAGGCAGGTGGATTGCTTGAGCCCAGGAGTTCAGGACCAGCATGGGCAACATGGTGAAACCCCATCTCTACAAAAAATAAAAAATTAGCGAGGCTTGGTAACATGCACCTATAGTCCCAGCTATCAGGGAAGCTGAGGTGGGAGGATCCCTTGAGCTCAGGAGGTGGAAGTTGCAGTGAGTACAGTGGGGCAACAGTAGAGTGAGACCCTGTCTCAAAAAGGAAAAAAGAAAAAGAAAAAGACAAGAAATTGCCCAGGAAGATAATGTAGTGAGGGCAAGGGTTGGCAAGTTCAAAGATCTGAGTGGTAGAAGATGAAGTTAGAGCGGTAGTCAAAA